TATAACAGAGCCCTTCTGATGCATGTGATATAGACCTTTGAGAATGTATGCCATAGCCTTTCCCGCGGTGTTTTTCATTACTAAAATCATAATGACTTGGCTAATGGAGATAAATTTTTGAAGTACAAGTAAAAGCAAGATTTGAAAAAAAAAAATTTTAAAAAAAAAATAAATAAAATAAAATAATATAGCTAGAGCCGTTTGACAGGAAAGAAAGAGAAAGGGATAATTTTACAATACACATTTCCTTATCATATGCACGTTTAGTTACTTTGGCCTTATTTAGTTTGTGTTTCTTAAAAAATTTTGAAAAAAATTCTCTACAAATAAGTTTTCAAAAGTAATCAAACCAAACAAATTTTCTTAAATTTTTTTTCAAAACTTGTTTAGTTTACAAATTTTTCAAACAAATCTCTCTCTCATACACATCAAATCAATCACTTTTTCTAAAACTTTCTCTCAAAATAATTTTTCAAAACATCTTTTAAAAAAAACAAAACCAAACAAATTTTCGTACTTTTTATCTCAAAACATGTTTCTCAAATACAAACCAAACAAGGCCTTTATTTTTTTCTTTAATTATGACAAATTTTCTTCTTTAATTATAACATTATTTTGAGATATTTGATTATACCTCACGTAGTGTTTAGTTATACATCTTATAACTAAAGAATAAAATGGCATAATCTCATAACTACACACCATTTCCCGGGAGAAAGAGAAAAAGACATAATAGTGAAAATAGAATACTCATTTCAAACTATTTTTAGAATTTTTTAAACATTAATTTAAAATTTAAACAATTTAAATCATACAATAAAAAGTCAATTTTTTTCATTATTTTCAACAAATTGTACTTTACAACTAATTTGATGACCGATTAGTTTAGTTTAAATTGTTCAAATTATAAAATTATTTTTGATTCATCAAATTAGGCTTTCATAATTATTGATTTGTAAAATTGTTTGCACTATATATTATTTTACATGTTGATCTAGATGTCATGTAGAAAAATAATATAAATATATATGCATGTATATATTTTTTCTATATATATTTTTATTTTTAGAAAGCAATTGCACGTTGTTTAGAAGAGAGGTGTCATGCAAGGCCATTTCCTATAAAAGTGGAGGAGTTACCAAATCATGCTTAGCCGCATGTTTTCAAATAATATAGTACCTTGGAATATTTGGTTCATTGTCATCTTATGGCAAATTTGAAAGGATAAAAATGGCAAAGTGTTTGATGATGTTGATGTGAAGAGCAGTGAGAGCATGAACCAAATAACTTGATACGTTTGCAAAATTCATGAATCCTTTAACTCTTTCTTATCTCGTAGACAAAATAACATCATACTAACTCAATGGAATCACGTTGACCTATGAAAATTCAAACTAAATGCAGATGGATGTGCAAAGAGTCCCTCAGACACAGCTGGATATAAAAGTTATTCAGGAATGAGAAAGGAATGTGGATCTTTGGCTATTCAGGGAAGATTAAGAAAGCAACCAGCTTGGAGATAGAGGTTTGAGCTATATATCGTGGCCCCACAATCATCCTTAATGCTGTGTTTGGTAGAGGAATTTACAGAGGGATTTGGAAAGGAAAATGGAAACGGTAGGTGGAATGTGAATAAAACATGCTTATATTTCACCTAGATTCACACACATTTTCCCTTTCTCTTTCTAAATCCCTCCTCAAATCTCCCAAACAAACACAGCATAAGAAAAGCTGAACTGACATAGAAATTAAAGTGGATTGCACTGAAACAATTGAGCTAATTCAAAGTGAAGGCCAACAAAACTGCACATTCATAGTACTCACTGAAGACTCCAAGTTCTTACTTAGCTGAACAAGATGTTCTCTCAAGCATGTGTACTGTGAAATTAACAAATATGCAGATGCCTTAGCAAACATTGGCGTGGAGCAAATTGAAGACTTTGTCGTAATGGAAGACCCTCCTAGAGCAATTAGGCCACTTCTTGTAGTAAAGATATGGTAAGAACTGTGTATGAGAATATATAGCCTCTCTTGCTTTTGATTTTTATGTAAAACTCTGTTTTCTTTAAATTCCGAAAGTACTAAAAAAAAAAAAAAGTCAGCAAAAATGTCAATTATGGAACTACCCATTATTGTGTTCTATGTGAATAACTCTCGATGTTAATGTCTACAAATGCTCGAAGAAGAATCCAAAGGAGGGGACTTTGAACAACAACATATCAAATACCTTAGTTCGATCATCGGTAGGGGCAGTTTCTCTCAAGTTAGCAGTAACTTTATCTTTGCAACGTTGGTTTGTAAATCTGCAAATTTTGAAGATTTCAACAGATATTTTCCCGGTTTACTTTTTTATAATGATTTTTTATTTCAAAAAAAAGGAAACATTGTGTTCGGATTAACCAAAAACCACTACAAAATCAAAAAAGTTTATACTATTCACTTTTTTTTTTTTTTGCGAAAAACTGGGCTGATTTGTCAGAGGACAAAAATACATTTTTGCCCTTATTTGTCCCTGCAGCTCACGTGTGAAGGAAAAGAAAAAAGAAAACAAAGAAAAGAAGAGTAGTGCAGCAATGGTCAACAGTGCACTGGGTAGTTCACTGACATGCACGGCGGAAAGCCTGTCAAATGTCAGTGCACATAAGGGTCTTTTAGTAATTTTACTAATTGATACAATATTTTAATACATATTTTTTTATAAAAAGTTATCTCAAATATACATATTTTTTTTCTCTACTTCTTTAATTAAAAAATCAAAAAGTGTACCTATGAAGTTCATTCCAAACAAACCCTAAATTTTACACAGTTGCTTGGTTACATTTGATGGTTGGTTGAAAATTATTGTTAAGTTCCTGTCATACTAACAAAAATTGTATTTAATTGGATCTATGAACAAAAAAAACAAATAATTTAAAATTAAATACAAATAATTAATAGTTTAAAAATTAAATAGACAAAATAAAAATTATCTTGTGTGGCTTCAATTTTTGAACTCAAATTTTTTAGAAATTGAGTTTTTCATTTTTCTTATTTTTTTTTAAATTTTATTGAATTTTTTAATATTTTAAGTTAATTTTTTTAGTTTTTAGATGTAATTAACCTACATATACGTAGGCGAAAAAAAAAAGTAATTTTTTTAGTTTTCTTATTTGGGATTTCACATGGAATACCATGCACTTGTTGTGATGCCAGACGGTAAGCGAAAAAAAGAGACCGAAATATATAGCTTAAAAAACTAACAAAGTCTATACTTTCAACTCAATTGTATTCTCAATTTTTAAAAGTGTCTTTCAACACCTAAGAGGTCCAATATTTATAGATAAACTAAAACAGAATAAATAAGGAAAGAATTAAATATCAAAATAACCAAAATTACATAATAACTCCTTAAGTTAAGATGTCCTAAAAATAAAGCTTACATAAGCCTAAATAAATCAATTTCGATTCTTTCAGTCCTGCTGCACATAGGTGCAATGAATGGAGGGCCTCAGGTGACTCCTATCAACTTGCCTTCCTTGCACTGTTTTCTTGTTTTGTCTTTTTTTAAATCTATTTATTATTTGAAATTCTTGGGTAAAAGAGCCGTGCCTACACAGTCAATGAGACCAAAACCATTTTGGCTATATAATCACAAATGACAAAAAAAAAAAAGTTATAAAATCACAAAGAGACAAAAAAATTACAAAATTACTAAATTGACCCATTTACAAATAAAAAGTCAACGGGTTGGAGATACCTGAGTTATTAAAAAAAAAATACAAACAAAAAGTCAAAAAAGTATCATTTTTAAGTAGAGGACAATTTTGTCATTCCAAAATTAAAAAGTCAAAAAAGCCTAACAAAAATACTAAATAACTAAAAAAATCTCAGGCTAAAAAATTCAAAAAAAACTAAAAAACCAACCAAAAAAAGCCGAAACCAAACGACTCCGATGAACAAAATGTAATTTTTAAAATTAGTATTGATATTTTAGTCAAATTATATTTATAATCTACCCAAGAATTATCTTTTCACCCCCTCTCGCTCTCCCTCCTTTCTCTTCCTCTTTCTTTTTCTACCCTGCCAAACGTAGCAATAACGAGAGCTTCTACCATCAAACGACTCTAGCAAATTCATGAATTGATGACCAGATCGGTCAAGGACTCACTTGCAATCTTTTCGTGTCTCGCTGCCTCAAAAACAACCCTTCTGCGTGAAGAAGATGCAAGAAATCTCCACTGCTGCTTTGATTTCGGGAAGAAGATTATTAGCTCATAATTACCGAAAAGGTATCACTTTTCTTCCCTCCCTCAATTTCAACTTCAGCTTCAATTTCAATTTCAATTTCAACTCATTGTTGTCAGCTGATAACAATGCACTTCTGTTTCATACCCAAATTTCAACTAACCCTAACCCTAATCCTCCCGATCTGAGGCAACTACAGAAATTACTGTCACAGAAATCCAAATTGGGTTTTGATAAGCTCGATGATGCTCTTTCTTTATTCCATCGGATGGTGCAAATGCAACCCCTGCCTCCGGTTATCCACTTCAATCAGCTGTTAAGTGGTATTGCCAAAATGAAGCATTATTCCTCCGTTATTTCACTGTTTAAAGAAATACGCTTGTTGGGTATTACGGTTGATTTCTATACAGTGAATATCGTTATTAATTGCCTTTGCCACTTGGATAGTGTAGATTATGGGTTTTCTTTCTTAGGTAGCTTCTTCAAACTTGGTTTTGTACCATCTCTGTGTACTTTCACCATTCTAATGAATGGATTCATTTTACAAGACAAGACTGCCAAGGCCATGGAATTGTTTAATAAATTGGTAAGAGAGGGAGAAATCAAACCTGATGGGGTTATGTACGGTACTATTATAAATGGGCTTTCCAAGACAGGAAATACTACAACTGCAATCGGGATTCTTAGGAGTATGCGAAAATGGAACTATAAGCCTAATGTTGTGATGTATAACACAATTATTGATGGCCTTTGTAAGGACAAAAATGTAGATGAAGCTTTGAGCCTCTTAGTGGAAATGACCCAGCAGGATATTACACCAAACTTGATCACTTACAACACTTTGATTCACGGATTATGTAATTTAGGCCGGTGGGAGGAAGCAACAAGAATTTTGCGAGACATGCCAGACAAGAATGTTTTTCCAGATGTTCTTACATTTAATACATTGATAAATGCATTCTGCAAGGAAGGGATGACAACAGAAGCAGAGAATGTTCTTGAATTCATGGTCCAAAGAGGTGTTGGTCCCGATGTAGTCACATACAGTACACTCATGGATGGTTATTGCTTGCTAGGTCGCATGGACAAAGCAATAGAAGTCTTTCATTCCATGGTGGATAAGGGCATTGAACCGAACATTCTTTGCTATAACATTTTGATCAATGGATATTGCAAAAAAATGAAAATTGAAAAGGCCATGAATGTTTTCCGTGAAATGCCTCGTAAAGGATTGAAACCCACAATTGATACTTACAATACTATGTTGCAGGGATTGTTTGGGGTTGGTAGGTGTTCTACTGCTCAAGGACTTCTTAATGACATGCAAGCTAATGGTCAGACTCCAAATTATTATACTTATTGTGTCCTGCTGGATGGATTATCCAAGAATGGCCGTATTGATGAAGCGTTGTTGTTATTTCAAGAGCTGGAATGCAGTGGCATAAATCCTGGTATTACTATGTACAACATATTAATTGATAGATTGTGCAAAGATGGGAAGCTTGAGATGGCAAGGAATCTATTTGGTAAGCTTGATTCTAAAGGTTTGCAACCTGATGTTCGCACTTTTACTATGATGATAGGTGGATTTTGTGAACAGGGGCTATTGGGTGAGGCAAATGATTTACTTGTGACGATGGAAGGGATGGGTTGTATGCCTAATCATGCAACTTACAATGTTATGGTCCGTGGATTCCTTAAAGCAAATGACTACACTGAAGCAAATATACTTGCAGAAAAAATGATTGGGAGGGGCTTTTCAGCAGATGCATCTACTTTGGGTACAGTAGTGGATCTACTCTCAGCTAAAGGTCAAGATCCTACTCTCTTTCATATGATTAAAAAATTGGTTCCCCGGGATAACACTAAAGGAATTTGTTAAGCTATCAACACGGATGCTATCTTTGGTGCTCATATGTCTACTTAGAATTTGCTAGGTAAGTATTTAGTTTATTGTTTCGATCATTTTCAATTTTACACTATAATCGTCTTAAGCATACATTGCCTTTGATGAAGTGAAGGTTCAATTTACAATTTTTGTCTTTTAAATTGGAATATGATTCTTGTTGATTTGTTTTGGTAATAGAAAAAAGGAATCGAAGATCATTTAAGGACGAGGAATTGATGGGTTCTACTTTGAAACAGTTGATGCTTGGTTGATTGCTTGCACACGATGCTATTTACAATGTTATTGTCCACTGCCAAGGACAAATCTGAGGTAGAAGATGCTATAAAATCAATCTTATGCGCAATGAATTGGGGCTTGAGATCATTTTGGCAGGATTCAAAAAGTCAATTTGGATACTTCTCTTGATTCATATGCAAACATGGAAGAAAGTCTAAGAAGTAATAGATTCTCAACAAAGTTTGAATCCATCTACTGCCAGAGGTCAGTTTTACAAAGGTTGAAGGTTACATGGAAATCATTGTGTTAATGGTTACAGAGACAAGTAAGTACTATTAGAAGGCGATAGTATTTAGGCCTCGTTTGGCAAGTAGTTGTTTTAGCCTAAAAACCAAAAAATTACTAAAAAAATCAAAAAGCCTATAACATATATCAAAAAGTCAAAGATTCCATTTTCTCTTTACTTTTTGCACATCTTTTCATAAAAAGTTAAAAAGTAATCCAAACATACTAATTTTTTTTACCTCATATTTTAGCTAAAAAACCAAAAAGTTACTAAAATAGCAAGCTCCCAAACGAGGCCTTAGTATTTAGCAACACAAAATTTTGTGCATAATGTGCTTCTTACCTTTGCCATACTTCTGCTTATTTGTTTCTGAAACAGAATATATAGGCAACTGATGCCATATACCATATTGGAAATGCAAGTTGTACTGCCATTTGTAGATTGCAATGTTTTTTTTTGATTTTCGGGTGTCCAGGCCACATTTGTAGATTGCAATATTATAAATTTGAAAATGCTCTTCCTGTTTGTTCCTTTCTCTTTTTTTGTATGTCCTGTTATTTTGCCCTTAATTGATTCAAATCTCATGACAGACAAGAATGTTTTTCCAGATGTTCTTACATTCAATACATTGATAAATGCATTCTGCAAGGAAGGAATGGCAAAAGAAGCAGAGAATGTTCTTGAATTCATGGTCCAAAGAGGTGTTGGTCCTGTTGTAGTCACATACAATACACTCACGGATGGTTATTGCTTGCTAGGTCACATGGACAGAGCAATCGAAGTCTTTCATTCCATGGTGGATAAGGGCATTGAGCCGAACATTCTTTGCTACAACATTTTGATCAATGGATATTGCAAAAATATAAAAATTGAAGAGAAGAGGCCATGAATGTATTCCATGAAATGCCTTGTAAAGGATTGAAACCCACAATTGTTATTTCCAATACTATGTTGCAGGGATTGTTTGAGGTTGTTAGGTGTTCTACTTCTCAAGGACTTTTGAATGAGATGCAAGCAAATGGTCAGGCTCCTGATTATTATACTTATTGTGTCCTACTGGATGGATTATCCAAGAATGGACGTATTGATGAAGCATTGCTGTTATTTCAAGAGCTGGAATGCAGTGGCATAAATCCTGGTATTGCTATGCACAATATATTAATTGATAGATTGTGCAAAGATGGGAAGCTTGAGATGGCAAAGAATCTATTTGGTAAGCTTGATTCTAAAGGTTTGCGGCCTGATGTTCGCACTTTTACTATGATGATAGGTGGATTTTGTGAACAGGGGCTATTGGGTGAGGCAAATGATTTACTTGTGAAGATGGAAGGGATGGGTTGTATGCCTAATCATGCAACTTACAATGTTATTGTCCGTGGATTCCTTGAAGCAAATGTCTACACTGAAGCAAATATACTTGCGGAGAAAATGATTGGGAGGGGCTTTTCAGCAAATACATCTACTTTGGCTACAATAGTGTATCTACTCTCAGCTGAAGGTCAAGATCCTATACTCTTTGATATGATTAAAATGTTGGTGCCCCAGGATATCCTTGAAATCCATAACACCAAAGAAATTTGTTAAGCTGTCAATTTGGATGCTATGTTTGGTGGGCATATGTTGGATAATTGTTGGTTCCCTACAATTTGGCCTTTGAAGCATCATATGAAAATATATCTCTTGGGAATTTGGTAGGTTAGTTTTTACTAGATTGTTTTTGTCATTTACTACTTGACACTATAATGACGTGAAGCAATTGGTTCAATGCTTTGGATTTTTGTCTTGTACATCCAGTTCCTCCTAAGGTGTGAGTGGTTTATTGTGTTAGTCCTGAAGCTGTTTGCTATAATGGCTGGTTGTATCATTTTGGTAAAATGGCTTTGGATGGTCCAGATATAGTGCTCTGATTGTGATATTTGGATTTGCTTTTTATTCATTTTGTTGTGCCATTTTTCCTTTTGTTTTTCTATTTGCTTTATTGTCATAGAAAATGTCCCCATAAGAGATTACTCGAAAGTTTTATTTAGATCACATTTATCTTTCTTTCATGAGGTTATCCCTTTTTTTATTCTCATTTGAAGTTTGAGAATATCTTCACAATGGAGCTTAGTGCTTCAACTTGTGTTTTTGTTTCACCCCTGCAGTTTTGTTGCTTCTTCTTGTTGGTTTATTGGAAGTGCCATAGATGAAGGAGGTGTTTATCTCTTTGGTGATATTGATTGTGATTTCTGGCACTATTTTGTTTCAATAAATTTGATTGCTGCCTGTGTAAATATTAAATCAAAATTGAAATTCTGCTAACTTATGCAAGGAACTGCACATTGATTCCTTGGTAAAAAGACCTCTTTCATAGCTCTTTTCGACAACAAGTTTTGGCTGAAGCAAGTTACAACACTAATATGTCAAAGAGACTAGGAGTTCAACAACCATTGATGAAGAAGGCCATGCCCGAAAGAATGCAAAAATTCAAACTGCAGCACAAGACATTGAAAGTTCCTTGACCGATCAGTGATGAGAGAGAGAGAGAGAGAGAGAGAGAGATTCCTAATTGTATCTATATGAATATATAGGGGTTGGGTTATTTGTAACTACAGTATGACATGAATGTTCATGTTCCTATCTAGTCGTCAAAGGCAGTAAGTTGTCTAGAACTTTGAAACCCCAGCAAGATGTTACACCGAACTTGATCACTTACAACACTTTGATCCATGGATTATGTAATTTCGGCAGGTGGGAGGAAGCAATAAGAATGTTGAGAGACATGACAAGCAAAAATGTTTTTCCAGATGTTCTTACCTTTAATACATTGATAAATGCGCTTTGCAAGGATGGGATGGCAAAAAAAGCAGAGGCTATTCTTGAAGTCATGGTTCAAAGAGGTGTTGGTCCCAATGCAGTCACATATCGTACACTAATGGACGGTTATTGTTTGCTAGGACACATGGACAGAGCAATAGAAGTCTGTCATTCCATGGTGGATAAGGGCATTGAGCCGAACATTATTTGCTTTAACATTTTGATCAATGGACATTGCAAGAATATGAATATTGAAGAGGCCATGAATGTTTTTTGTGAAATGCCTCGTAAGGGATTGAAACCCATAATTGAAACTTACAATACTAGGTTGCAGGGATTGTTTGGGGTTGGTAGGTGTTCTGTTGCTCAAGGACTTCTGAATGAGATGCAAGCTTGGGGTCAGCATCCAGATTTTTATACTTACTGGATATGGCTGGATGGCTTGTGCAAGAATAGGCGTATTGATGAAGCATTGTTGTTTGAGGAACTAGAATGCAGTGGCATAAATCCTGATATTACTATGCACAATATATTAATTCATAGATTTTGCAAAGATGGGAAGGTTGAGATGGCAAAGAATCTGTTTGGTAAACTTTCTCACAAAGGGTTATGGCCTGATATTGTGACTTATAATATGATGGTGGGTGGATTTTGCGAGCAAGGACTATTGGGTGAAGCAAAAGAGTTGCTCGTGACCCCAGGATATACTTGAAATCCGTAACACCAAAGAAATTTGTTAAGCTATCAAGCTGTTGGATAATTATATCTCTTTGGATAATTGTTAGTTCTCTACAATTTGACCTTTGAAGCATCATCATAAAATTATCTCTTTGGAATTTGGTAGGTAAGTTTTTACTTGATTGTTTTTATAATTTACTACTTGACATGAAGTGAAGCAATTTGTTCAAAGTTTTGGATCTTCGTCTTGTGCATCCAGTTCCTCCTAAGGTGTGAATGGTTTCTTGTGTTAGTCCTCAAGCTGTTTGCTATAATGTCTGGTTGTATCATTTTGTTAAAGTGGGTTTGGATGGCTTCGCTTTTTGTTCATTTTGTTTTGTCTTTTTTCTTTCATTTACTTTATTTTGTGGTAGAAAATGTCTCCATATGAAATTACCCGAGAGTTTCGTTGTATTTAGATTAAGATGACAAGTAGCTAGCGTGTTATATTTTCTTTCTTCCATAAGGTTGTTCTTTCCTCTTTTTTTTTTTGGGGTCCTTCCCCCTCATTAGAAGTTTGAGAATGTGTTCACAATGGAGCTTAGTGCTTTTGTTTCACCTTGCAGATTCTCATTGTTGTTGTTCGTTGATTGCAAGTGTGCCATAGATGACGGAGGTGTTTATCTCCTCTTTCACAATATTGATTGTGATTTCTAACTCTGTATTTTGTTTCAATTGCTGTCTGTGTAAATATTAAATCAAAATTGAAATTTTGTGGAATGATTCTGCCGATTTACGCAAGGAGCTGCACATTGATGCCTTGCTAAAAAGGCCTCTTTCATTGCTCTTTTCTACAACAGGTTTTGGCTGAAGCAAGTTGCAACACTTGCATGTCAAAGAAACTAGGAGTTCCAACAATTCCCATTCTATACAACTGACTGATACCAATGATGAAGAAGGTCATGCCAGAAAGAATGCACAAATTCAAACTGCTACACATGACCTGAAGTTCCTTGACAAATCAGTGATGAGAGAGAGAGAGAGAGAGAGAGAGAGAGAGAGAGAGAGAGAGAGAGAGATTCCCACTTCTATTTATATGAATATACGGGGTTGGGTTGTTCGTACAATATGACATGAATTTTAATTTTATTATCCAATCTTCGAAGGCAGTTCTCTAAAAACTTTGAAACCTCAACGTTTGGTATTGTTATTGTATATGATAAACTAGTTTTTTGTTTTTGAAAACTTGTTTGGCAAATATGCATTTTGTGTTTCAACATTGTTTTCTTTTCTCATTTCTCAATGCAACTGCTTAAATTTATTTTTGTTGCTGGAATTTCGCCCAATAACATCAGAAGGACAAAAAGAATGATGTTATGAGCACACCAACACAACATTTTGCGTTATTTCCAAGTTCTGTTTCGTTTCTTTGATGCTTCATAATTATATTCTTCATAATTATATTGCGGAGTTTGGGAGGTATCATATATTTGTTCATTATTCACTTGCAACGAGGTTTTTAGGGAAATTTTACTATATAAGGGATGTAGCATATAGTTATGTTATTTTTTTTTAGTTATGATTAATTTTTTTATTCAATTATGACATTATTTTAATTATGACTCACAAGATTTTAGTTATATCTTATGTGGCGTTTGATTATGAATATATATATTTTTTTAGCTATGTCTAGAAAATATAAAATTATGTTATTTTCTTCTTTAGTTATAAGAAAATGATATACAAGCTCACTTTGTTGAGCCATTTTTTAAACCCAATGATATGATTAGTTGATGATTGAGAATATATAAGAGTGAGTATTACCTTAGATATCTTAATTAATTGTCACATTATTGGACTTCAAAATTGGGTTTAATTTTTGGACTTGTACAGCAATGTCCTTAGTTATAAGGTGCATGTGATATGCACCCTTTGAGGATGTACGCCATAGCCTTCCCGAGGTTTTTTTGGTTACTAAAATCATAATGATTTTGCTAATGGTGATAAATTTGTGTTACAAGTAAAAGCAAGATTTTAGAAAAAAAAAACAAACAAAAAACAAAAATGTAGCTAGAGCAGTTTTACAACGAAGAGAGAGAAAGGGATAATTTTACAATACACATTCTCTTATCATATGTACATTTAGTTACGTCATTTTTTTTTAATTATGATAAATTTTCTTTTTTAGTTATGACATTATTTTACGATATTTGATTATACCTCATGCAGTATTTAGTTATGACTTCTTCTTCTTCTTTTTTTAAAATTATGATTCAAAAAGTATGGAATTATGTCATTCTATTCTTTAATTAGAAGATGTATATGGTACACACCCTTTACCGAGAGAAAGAGAAAAAGACATAATAGTGAAAATAGAATACTCATTTCAAACTATTTTTAGAATTTTTTAAACATTAATTTAAAATTTAAACAATTTAAATCATACAATAAAAAGTCAAAAAAAAAAAATTTATTATTTTGAACAAATTGTACTTTACAACTAATTTAATGACTATATAGTTGCATAGTTTAAATTGTTCAAATTATAAAATTATTTTTTGGTTCATCAAATTAGGCTTTCATAATTATTGACTTGTAAAATTGTTTGCACCATATATTATCTTACATGTTGAGCTAGATGTCATGTAGAAAAATAATATATATATATATATATATATATTTCTATGTATATTTTTATTTTTAGAAAGCAAGGTAGTTGCTTGCTTAGAAGAGAGGTGTCATGCAAGGCCATTTGCTGTAAAAGTGGAGGAGTTACGAAATCATGCTTAGCCGCATGTTTTCAAATAACATAGGAGCTTGGAATATTTGGTTCATTGTCATCTTATGGCAAATTTGAAGGATAAAAATGGCAAAGTGTTCGATGATGTTGATGTGAAGAGCAGTGAGAGCATGAACCAAATAACTTGATACGTTTTTGAAATTCATGGATCCTTTAACTCTCTCTGATCTCCTAGACAACATAACATCATACTAACTCGACGGAATCACCTTCTTGCAAGAAACTTTAAACTAAATGCAGATGGATGTGCAAAGAGTCCCTCGGACAGAGCTGGATATAAAGAGCTGTTCAGAGATGAGAAAGGAATGTGGATCTTTGGCTATTCAGGGAAGATTAAGAAGACAACCAGCTTGGAGGTAGAGGTTTGAGCCATATATCATGGCCTCACAATCATCCTTGAGAAAAGCTGGACTCACATGGAAATTAAAGTGGACTGCACTGAGGCAATTGAGCTAATTCAAAGTGAAGGCCAACAAAACTGCACATTCAAAGTACTCACCGAAGACTCTTAAGTTCTTACTTGGCTGAACAAGATGTTCTCTCAAGCATGTGTACTGTGAAATTAACAAATATGTAGATGCCTTAGCAAACATTGGTGTGGAGAAAATTGAAGACTTCGTCATAATGGAACCCTCCTGAAGCAATTAGGCCACTTCTTGTAGTAGAGATATGGTGGGAACTATGAGAAGATATATAGTCTTGCTTTTGATTTTTATGTAAACCTCTGTTTTCTTTAAATTCTGAAGTACTAAAAAAAAAAAAAAAAAAAAAAAAAAAAAAAAGGTTAGCAAAAGTGTTGGAACTACCCATTATTGTGTTCTATGTGAATAAGTCTCGCTGTTGATGTCTACAAATGCTCGAAGAAGAATCCAAAGGATGGGACTTTGAACAACAACATATCAAATACCTTAGTTCTATCATCGTTAGGAGCAGTTTCTCTCAATTTAGCAGTAGCTTTATCTTTGCAACATTGGTTTGTAATTCTGTAAATTTTGAAGATTTCAACAGAAATTTTCCTTGTTAACTTTTTTATAACGATTTCTTATTCCAAAGAAGAAGACATTGAATTTTACATAGTTGCTTAGTTACATTTGATTGTTGGTTGGAAATTTTTGTTAAGTTCCTGTCACACTAACAAAAATCGTATTTAATTGTATCATATGAACAAAAAAACAAAAAAAAAATAAATAAATAAATTAAAATTAAATGTAATTATTGTTATTATTTATTTATTTATAGTAAATTTTTTAATATTTTAAGTAAATTTTTTTAATTTTTAAATGTAATTAACCTAGATATACCTAAAAACTAAAATATTTATAAAAAGATATATTAAAAAACTAATAAATATTAAAGAATACAAAAATATACTATTTTTTATATTTATTTGATATTTTTAATATTTAATAACTTTTGTAAAAATAACAAATATTATATTTTTAAATATATTTATATTAATTGTATTTAAAAACTAAAAAAATTATCTAAAATATTAAAAAAAATTAATAAAAATACAAAAAAATAAAAAAATCTCAATTTAAAAAAACTCAGTTTAAGAGATAGTAATCGTGAAATTAAATCCCTACTCAAATTCCTAGATCATTTTCTCTCTTTCTCTTTCTCTTATTAAATCCCTTCTCCAATCCCTGATCAAATTCCTTGGGCATTTTCATCCCTATGTCACTCTTCCTCCCTCTTTCTCTTCCTCTTTCTTTTTCTACCCTGCCAAACGTAGCAATAACGAGAGTTTCTACCATCAAATGACTCTAACAAATTCATGATTTCATGATCAGATCGGTCAACGACTCACTTGCGTTCTTTTCGTGTCTCTCTATCTCAAAAATAACCATTTTTGAGGAAGATGCAAGAAATATCCACTGCTGCTTTGATTTCCAGTCGAAGATTATTAGCTTATAATTACCGAAAAAGTATCACTCTTCTTCCCTCCCTCAATTTCAACTTCAACTTCAACTTCAACTTCAACCCATTGTTGTCAGCTGATAACAATACATTTCTGTTTCATACCCAAATTTCAACTAACCCTAACCCTAACTCTAACTCTAACCCTAATCCTCCTGTCGGAAGCAACTACACAAATTACTGTTAGAGAAATCCAAATTGGGTTTTGATAAGCTCGATGATGCTCTTTCTTTATTCCATGGCATGCTCCAAATGCAACCCCTGCCTTTGGTTGTCCACTTCAATCAGCTGTTAACTTGTATTGCCAGAATGAAGCATTACTCCACCGTTATTTCTCTGTTTAAAGAAATACGCTTGTTGGGTATTACGGTTGATTACTATACCATGAATATCGTAATTAATTGCCTTTGCCACTTGAATAGAGTAGATTAGGATTTTCTGTCTTAGGTAGCTTCTTCAAACGTGGTTATGTATCATCTGTATATACTTTCAGCACTCTAATGAATGGGTTCATTTTACAAGACAAGGCTGCCAAGGCCATGGAATTGTTCAACAAATTGGTGAAAGAGGGAGAAATCAAACCTAATCAAATTATGTACGGGACTATTATAAATGGGCTTTGCAAGACAGGAAATTCTACAACTACTGTAGGGCTTCTTAGGAGTACGCAAAAATGGAACTATAAGCCTAATGTTGTGATGTATACCACAACTATTGATGGTCTTTGCAAGGACAAAAATGTTGATGGTGCTTCGTGCCTCTTAGGGGAAATGACCCAACAGGATGTTGCACCAAACGTGATCACAACACTTTGATTCACAGATTATGTAATTTAGGCCGGTGGGAGGAAGCATCAAGAATGTTGAGAGACATGGACAGACAATAATGTTTTTCCAGATGTTCTTACATTTAATACATTGATAAATGCTTTCTGCAGGGAAGGGATGGCAAAAGATACAGGGAGTGTTCTTGAATTCATGGTCCAAGAGGTGTTGGTCCTGATATAGTCACATATGGTACACTGATGTATGGTTATTTTTTACAAGGCCAAATGGACAAAGCAATAGAAGTCTTTCATTCCATGGTGGATTAGGGCATTGAGCTGAACATTCTCTGCTATAACATTTTGATCAATGGATATTGCAAGAATATGAAAATTGAAGAGGCTGTGAATGTTTTCCGTGAAATGCCTCGTAAATGATTGAAACCCACAATTGATACTTACAATACTATGTTGCAGGGATTGTTTGGGGGTGGTAGGTGTTCTACTGCTCTAGGACTTCTGAATGAGATGCTAGCTAGGGGTCAGCATCCAGATTTTTATACTTACTGTATATTGCTGGATAGCTTGTGCAAGAATAGGCATATTGATGAAGCATTGTTGTATTTCAGGAGCTAGAACGCATAAATCCTCATATTGCCATGCACAATGTATTAATTCATAGATTTTGCAAAGACGGGAAGATTGAGATGGC